AAAATACAAAAATTAGCTGGGCGTGGTGGTGGGCTCCCATAACCCCAGCTACTCGGGAGGCTGAGGCAGAACTGCTTGAACCCAGGAGGTGGAGGTTGCAGTGAGCTGAGATTGCACCACTGCACTCCAGCCTGGGCGACAGAGCAAGACTCTTGTCTCAAAAAACAAACGAGAAAAGAAAACCCAGACCCCAACAAATTGATGAATTGATCCCTTAACAGATTCTTTTTGTTGTTCTTGTTGACACAGGTCTCACTCTAGGCCGGAGTACAGCGGCACCATCACAGCTCACTGCAGCCTCAACCTCCTGGGCGCAGGTGATCCTCCCATCTCAGCCTCTCAAGTAGCTGGGACTACAGGCACCCACCACCACATCTGGGTAATTTAAAAAACCCTTTTTTTTGGCCGGGCGCAGTGGCTCACGCCTGTAATCCCAGGCCGAGTCGGGCGGATCACGAGGTCAGGAGATCGAGACCATCCTGGCTAACACGGTGAAACCCTGTCTCTACTAAAAATACAAAAAACTAGCCGGGCGTGTGGTGGGCACCTGTAATCCCAGCTGCTCGGGAGGCTGAGACGGGAGAATGGCATGAATTCAGGAGGCGGAGCTTGCAGTGAGCTGAGATCGCGCCACTGCACTCCAGCCTGGGCGACAGAGCGAGACTCCGTCTCAAAAAACAAAAACAAAAACAAAAACAAAAAAAACCTTTTCTTTGTAGAGATGATGTCTTACTATGTTGCCCAGGCCTGAACTCCTGGGCTCAAGTGAGTCTCCTGCCTCAGCCTCCCACAGTGCCAGGATTACAGGCATGAGCCACCACACCCAGACCCTTAACAGATTCTAAGATGCCTTCATCCTGATCTCCAATCCACGCTTCTCGTGTGAACTTTCTGGGTCAGCCAGTCAAGTGGGGATGAGCCTCTTGAAAGGACGGGTGCTAGGAAACTGCCATCCCATTATCCACTACCAAAGAACATTGAGGGTAGGTATTCTTATTCCCATTTTACAGATGAGAAAAGCAAGGCAAATTTGACATTGAAATAAAGCCCTTTGAGGGGAATTTTGTACCTGTTTAGCTACCAGTTAATCAGCCAGGACACTTCTCTCCACCCTAACCACTGCAGGAGTACCAGAATCTCCAGGGACCTTCATTTCCCTTGGGGTTGCCCAGCCTTCTGGGCTGAGCCCTGCAACTCCAAGGATGGCCGATAGATGGCAGAAAAGGCGCATCCAGGGATGGACCCTCAGCCCTCCCCTCCCCTACTCCTGTCCTGGGACAGCCTTCCAGCCTTGGCTCCCCAGGTCCAGGGTTTGATAAAGGAGGTTTGAAAGATGATGGTCTCCAACTCCGAAATAGCATTTTAGTTTTTATGATGCTTACAGTTGGATTTTTTTTTTTAAAAAAAACAAGACTCATGCTTCTCTTTCCTTCCTCAAAAACAAACTCAGAGCCCAAGCTGACGCAGAAGCTATCCCACACCCACTGCCACCCCACTGCACCCTATGCCCTGACTCAAGGAGTCCTCAGGTTTTAAGGCTGGAAGGTCCTTCCTGGGATGAGAGATCCTCCAGCCCCATCCAGGAAACTGAGATCCAGAGAGACCAACAGAGGCTCAGGGGCAGACCCGATTTCCTGAAAGCCATGGGGTAAGAAGCAAGGAAGGTGGACATGAATTGAAGTGGAGCCCTCCCAGGCCTGACCCTCCGTCCCAGGTTTGCTGGGACTCAGTCTCCCTCTTACCTACACAGCAAGTGGCTGACCCAGAGAAAGCCCAGGTGCTTACTGTTTAGCTTGGCTAACATGTGGGGCATTTGAAATGGCACAGGCTGGCCTTGAATTCTGGCTCTATCATTTCTTAGCTGGGTGATCTTGGCCAAGGAACCTAACTCTCTGATCCTGGAGTTTCTACCTATAAATTAAGCTAATAATAATGCCCTTTTTAGGCGGGTTTGGAGGACTGGATGAGAAAATGCGTTCACTCCCTCTTCTACCCTCATTGCTTTGCTTTTTTTTTTTTTTTTTTGAGACAAAGTCTCAGTCTGTCGCCAAGGCTGGAGTACAGTGGTACAATCTCGGTTCACTGCAACCTCCGCCTCCCAGGTTCAAGGGATTCTCCTGCCTCAGCCTCCTGAGCAGCTGGGATTACAGGCGCACGCCACCACACCCGGCTAATTTTTGTATTTTTAGTGGAGACAGGGTTTCATCATGTTGGTCAGGCTGGTCTCGAACTCCTGACCTCAGGTGATCTACTCGCTTCGGCCTCCCAAAGTGCTGGGATTACAAGTGTGAGCCACTGTGCCCGGCCTTTTCTTTTCTTTCTTTTTTTTTTTAAGGCAGGGTCTCACTCTGTCACACAGGCTGAAGTGCAGTGGCATGATCATAGCTCACTGCTACCTCAAGCTCCTGGGCTAGGACTATAGGCACAAGCCACCATGCCTGGCTAATTTTT